TGGGGGCGCCCTCCGACCTGCAGCAGCTCGCTGGTATCGGACCCCGGGGGCTCCTGGGAAGGCCTTCCTTGTGCTGACCCGGAGCGGCCTCGCTCTCTCTGACCCCAAGAGGCTCAGCCCAGGCCTCTGGGGACCCCAGCCACAGACACCCCCTCTGCCTCCACGCTTTCCCAAGGGCCTGGGCTTGGGACTGTCCCCCTCCCTGCCCACCTGCCTCTGGATCCTCTGCGGAAGCAGCTGCTTGCTTACTTCAGGCTCTGGTGGTGCATCTGGCCGGCCAGTCACCCAGGCCATGGCTGGCCTTGTCCTTTGTCCTTTGTCTTCCTCAATTTGCTAACTAAGAAGCGTAGGGGGGAGCTCCACTGTGTAGTGGAAGCTGTAGGGCAGTGGAAAGCGCCCGGCTGCTGCTCACTGATCCACCCGCAGCCTCAGTTTCCTTATCTGTACAACAGCGATAATAACACTGGAGGGGATGATCGGTCGGGCTCATGTAAAGGTCCTGGGTGATGAGTCACAGAATGCAGGCCGATGGGCTGCATGCGACACCTGGGGAGCTGGCAGTCAAGCCACATCCTCCCCAGGGCCTCCCCGAGACATGCATTTGGCCCTCGCCTGATGGTTCACCGCCCGGATGCCGGGCTCTGGGACCCAGCGGGGAAACAGGCCCACTTCCCGCCCTCAGGGAGCTGCCTTCTGGAGGGTTCCATGCTCACTACCTCTGGTTTCCTAACTGTCTTCGTGCTTTGGTTTCTCGGTGCACAGCAAGCGACAGTGAATAGCCGGAAGCTGGCCGCAGAGGCGCTTCTGTGACACTGGGGAGGGGATGGGCGGTGCCCGGCCCCCAGCACCTGCCCGGCTGCCGTTGGGCTCCGGGCATCTGGGCTGCGACCAGCGGGTCTAGCTGCCCGTCTCCTCTCCCACGGTTAAAGGGGATTTAAAAAAAAAAAGGCTAGAAAAAGGATGAAGGGTGCGTGGAGCCAGGGGTGCGTCAGTCATTAGGGGGGTCTCAGCGAGGGCGGGTAACAGGCCATAGGATGGTTTTTGACGGCGGGCGCAGGCCGCGGGTCCCGCCACTGTGGGCTCCCGCCCTTTCCAGTCCTTTCCCTGCCTCCGCATCACTCACTGCAGCCCAGCCTGTGCAGTGGCCCGCTCCTGGCCACGCCTCCAGGTGGGTGTCCCTGCTTGCCACGTCCCCCGGGCACTGCTCCGGGTCGCCCAGGCGGGGTGTGTGCGGCTCAGAGGCCGAAGGGTGAGGCTCCTCCCAGGGCTCCGCTGGGTTAGTGCTTCCTGTCCTGGGCACCTGGTGCCCTCCGGTCCCCGTGCCGTCCCGTCCCCCGCCACCTTCCACGGCCCTTAACTTGGTCCCCAGGAGAGGCCTCAGCCACTTCCCGGTGCGGGTGGCGGCCGCCTGCTGGGCGCTGCAGAGAGTGGGCGACCCGAGGTAGAGGGTTCAGGTCCTGCCGCGCCCTCAGAACCTGGGCGGCCTCACGCCCTGCCCTCGGTTCCCCTCGCAGTGCGGTGCCCTCATGCCTCGGGTCACCCCAGTGCTGGGACCCCCGAGGGGCCCCGGCGAGCCCCAGGCCAGGCACGTCCCCAGACTTGGCAGCCAGTCGGCCCCGAGGAGCTGGGCCGAGGAGCAGGTCGTCCGTCGGCCGGGGCTCGGCCTCTGCCCCCACTTCCTTGATGAGGAGACCAGGCCCCCGGACAGGGACGGCTCGCTTGGGCCCTGGTCGCTGCGGTCTAGTCCCTGCGGCTGCCAGGAGCGATATGGGCAGGAAGAGGAAGTGGCGGTGGGTAGGGAGGCCAATCCCCGTCTGTGCTGCGGGGGCACGGTGGGGCTGCCCAGGAGGAAGCTGGGGGCGTCCCCGGGCAGGACTCCCCCCCCCCGCCCCCCGGGGCAGGAGAGCGCTGCCACCTGCCCAGAGCTTCCCTGCTGGGCTTCCGCGGGGAAGGGAGGCCCTGGAGGCCCGGCAGGGGGTGGGGTGGGGGTGGGGGGGTGGGGGGATGACAACACTGCAGCGTCCCCCCACCTGCCACCACCCGGGGGGACTGCTCGCTGCCACGGGGCCGCGGCTTGGCTGCTTCCACGCGGCTGCACAGCCACCAGGGCCCTGGTCCAGGGAAGAGCTCCTGTGACCCAGCCTGGCTCGGGCCTGGTCTCTGCGAATCCATGGCAACTGCACCGTAGCCCCAAATACAACGTTGACTTAAGCTGGAAAGAATCTGAGTGATCATTTTTAAAAGTCATCGTAAAAAAATTGTTTATTGATGCTTCAAAATGAAAATCGGAGCTGTCTGTCTCTCGAACGACTGACGGGGGTGCATGAGCCGGGGGACGGGGGGCCTGGGCTCGCGTCCCAGATGCTGGCCTTTACCCGGAGACCTTGAGTGCAGTCGCCTGGTACCATTGGGCCTTGTCTCGGTCCTTACCTGCCTGGGTGTGTGGCGTGTTCAGTGAGAGAACCGCTGCGTGGGGCGCCGGGGGCTCAGAGTGTCGGCCTCCAGCTCAGGTCACGATCCTGCGTCCTTGGATCCAGCCCCACATCGCTCCCCTCTGGGCGGGGACTTTGCTTCTCCTCCTGTCCCTGCCCCTCCTCCCAGTCATGCTCGCTGGCTCTTGTTCTCCCTCAAACAAATAGAATGGTAAAAAAGAAAAGAGGAGAAAAGGCCAGGGCGCCGCCGTGGAGCCCCCGGGGTGTGGCCGGAGACCCCGTAACCTCCCTGAGACCAAGGCTGCGGCGGGTTTCAGGCCAGGAGGCTGCGGGTGGAGGCAGAGGGAGGCCCCCCCCCGGGGGGAATGTCGGGGATGTGGGCCCAGGGGAGGCCTGCTGCAGGCGGTGGGTGCAGGCGGCAAGGCCAGGGTGGGCCCGCGGGGTGATGCGCGGCTAGCCTTGGCCGGGAACCCGCAGGGCCGCTTGGTCACTGAACCCAAGGGTGGATGGGTTCACTTCCTCCACCACGGCCTGGGCAGCCCTGCCGGGCTCTGGGCGATGAGTCAGGCCGGAGAGATGGGGAAGGGGTGGAGGAGGTGGGTGAGCTGGGGGGGCGCGGTCCGGGAGCACCCCGGGAGCAGGCACTTCCTCGGAACAGCCTGCTTGCTTGTGACCCTGGCTCACTTGGGCTGGGGCACCGGGGCCAGAGCTTGCCGTCGGGGTTCCTGCGCCGGCTGCGCCCCGGGCCCTGAGCTCTGGGCACCCTGCGGATGGCCCATGTAGGTGCGCTGCTGCCTGGCTTTCCGCTGCAGGGGGGAGCCTCAGGAAGGATGGGGCTACTGGGGGGCGGGCGCTGGGGGCCAGCGAGCTCGCGGCCGTCCTCTCCCCGAGGCTCTGGGGTCACTAAGGGCCTGGCCAGCCCTGTCCCTGTCCTGCCTCCGCCTGGATTTCCCGAGGCAGGTCCTTCCCCTCCCTGGGCCTCATGGCCTGGCCTGCGGCCTGAGGGGCCCGCACAGCACGCCTCCGTTGGGCGAGGCCGGGAGGCTGAGGCCCCAGGACCTTTCCATCCCCGCGGTCACGGCCTGCCAGGGGCTGGGGGGACAGCTGTGGTCTGCCGGCCGGTTCACAGGCAAGCGGCCACTCACGGGAGCCTGGCCCGACGCCGTCGGCTGTTGGCTCTAAGGTGGGCGAGACTGGCCTCCCCCGACTTAGGTGCCCACCGATTGAGATGGGGCCGTGATGCGGGTACTCGGGCAAGTGGGGACCCGTTGTCCAGCCTCCGAGGCTTCTGGGGACCCACAGGGGCGGGAAAGAAGACAGACCAGGTGCTGCATGTCGGGGGTTCCCTCAGGTCGCCATGGCCTGGCCCAGCGTCCGAGGGGCGGGGTGGGGGTCTGTCCTCCGGAACGGCTGGGGCCGAGCGGCGGGGAGCGCTGCCCCCAGCACCGCGTCCCACCACTGCTCCATCTCCCTCCCTGCCCGTCGGCTGCGTGTGCAGCTTGGCTCCGAGACCCACCCCCTAGGGCAGGGTTGTCCTCGGGGACCCTCTGTCCCCCGTGGTCCTCAGCCGTACCTCCTTCCCTGGCTCCCAGCGCCAGCAGCTCAGAATCGGCTCGATGGGTGAGGAAGGAGGGTCGGATTTGTCAGGAGCCCCAGGGCCGGCGGACCATCCTGCCAGGCTGCAGAGGGCGGTGGTGTCCAGGAGGGCTCTCCAAAATGCCCCTTTGGTCCCTGTCCTGCTAAAGGGCTGGGCCTGGGGTGCTAGGCAGGGGCCAGGCGTCCAGGTGCGCAGGTCACCGGGGCCCACCCACAGCTCCTGGCGCAGCGGCGGGCACACCGCTGTCCGCTGGTGCTGTTGCCGCGGAGGTCCCACGTATAGAGGCGGGGGGTGGGGGGTCTCGAGCCACACAGCCTGGGTGCGAGTGCGAGGCCGGGCTGCGTTGCCGTGGGCACACCTCCCACTCTGTGCCTCAGTTTGCTCACTTGGACGATGGAGATAAGAGGGTGATTGGGACTGTGAGCCCGTGAGCTCTGAGGCCCAGAGCCGGGTCCCACCTCCGAGCACCCTGAATGCACAACCCTCTCTGGGGCTTCTAAAGATACAAGGGGCCCCCACTGGTGTCCGCTTCCAAACTGGAACCAGGGAAGACACAGGAAGAGCTAGAGGGAGGTGCAGAAGGGGTGGGGATGCTCAAGGCCCACAGGTCTGCACCGGGAGAACTTCCCCAGACTGGGGGGGCCTCCTGGGGGCGGGGGGGCCGCGACCGGAGCTCACGTTGGGGCCGAGCTGCGTGGGGCTGTCACCACCCGGCCCTGGAGGTGGCCCTTCCACGGCCGTCTCATGTGGGAGCTGACGCGTCCTGGGCTGTGAGCTCCGAGGGCACACGCAGAGCTCACACGCGGCTTGGTCCCGGTGGGTCCTGCAGCCGAGGGCTCGTCCCTGCGGGGGGCACGGAGGCCCACGGAGGTCAGCCCCCCTCCCCGGAGGCCGCAGTGGGGGTTCCCTGTCCCCACCTGGCCTGCACGGCCAGCCGCGGCGCTCACGCGTCCCTCTGCCCCGGGTTCCAGTGCAGGGACTTCACGGCGCACACCGGCTACGAGGTGCTGCTGCAGAGGCTGCTGGACGGCAGGAAGATGTGCAAGGATGTGGAGGAGCTGCTGAGGCAGAGGTGGGCCAGGCTCGGGGCGGGGCGGGAAGGGAACGAGCTGTCCCCCCCCCCAGGTGGAAGTGCAAGCCCACCCCCAGCCACGCTGCTGTCAGGACCCCCCACCCCAGGCCTCTCCCAGGTTGACAGATAATCTGACCTCCCCTCAAATATGCAGGAATTTGCCCTCAAGGGGGAGGCTGAGTGCCCCCACCTGTGGGCTGGCAGAGCCTCACCTTGTTGTTGCAGGGCCCAAGCGGAGGAGCGGTATGGCAAGGAGCTGGTGCAGATCGCCCGGAAGGCAGGCGGCCAGACGGAGATCAAGTAAGAGGTCCCGCGCCCCGGGCTCGCTCCTCGCTGGCCAGGCATGCCCGGGCCTCGCAACGGGGTCTGGGCTGCCCGGCAAGGGTGCAGCGGGCCGAGTGCCCGGGCGACAGCTCTCTTAGGGACACTGTGCTGTGGGGTCAGGTCAGTTCCACGTGGGGAGACAATCCCGCTATGTGGGAGCCAGGAAGGCTGTGGGCGGGGGACAGAGGCCCTCTGTCCCGACCAGCAGCGCTGAGGCGGCCCCCGCCCAAGTCCCAGGAGGCCGAAAGCCAGGTGACCACCCTGCCCCGGGCGCCTGAGCCGCCGCAGCCTTGGCTTGGCCGGGCCTTCGTGGGGAGAGCCGTGGCCGGGCTCCGGGTCGGGCTGCTCTCCGACGTTGCCTCCAGTCCGAGCAGAACAGGAACACAAGCTTCTCGAAGGAGTAAGGGAGTCCGGGGGCTCCGCTCGGGCCTGGCTGGGGGAGGCGCCGTGCAGGGTGCTTGCTGCTATGAAGCAAGGCTCTTCTCCAGCCCCAAGGCTGGGTCCCTGTGTGTGGACGCGGGGGGCGGGGGGCAGGGAGGGAGAGCGTGGCAGCCGGAGGGCGGCTGGAGAACTTGCTAATGGTGGACTGTCCCCTGGGGAGGAGCCCCTGCCGGTGGAGCCTGCACCCCTGAGCCCTGCCCCTGCTGCCCCGGGGGCAAGCCCGTCCGGAGCTGGCTCCGCACAAGGAAAGTGGCCCCAAAGCCCGTGAGCTCTGAGGCCCGGAGCCGGGTCCCCCCTCCGAGCACCCTGAATGCACAACCCTCTCTGGGGCTTCTAAAGACACAAGGGGCCCCCACTGGTGTCCGCTTCCAAACTGGAACCAGGGAAGACACAGGAAGAGCTAGAGGGAGGTGCAGAAGGGGTGGGGATGCTCAAGGCCCACAGGTCTGCACCGGGAGAACTTCCCCAGACTGGGGGGGCCTCCTGGGGGCGGGGGGGCCGCAACTGGAGCTCAGGTTGGGGCCGAGCTGCGTGAGGCACAGTCACACTCAGAAGCGCGTGAGTCACTGGGGCCTAAATGGGGAAGGAGCAGCCCCTAAGCAGGAGAACAAAATGGAAGGGGAGCCGGGCGGATGGCGGGAAGGGGGGCGGGGATGGTGCCCGTCCCAGTGCAGGACCAGGAAGCGGCCAGGGCAGTGCTCCAGGTGGTCCCGGTCCAGGTGCGCAAGGCCCTGTGCGCCTGCAGGGTCTCACTGCCCGGAGTCCCTGCTGGGCTGCGGAAGGGGAGTTGCCCCCAGAGGTGCTCTGGGGTCCTGACATCAGGGAGCACGAGGCCGGGGTGCAGGTCCGTGAACAGGGGGTCCTGCGGTCTTACAGGCGCCACGGAAGTCGGAGGCCTTGCCCAGGCAGGCAGGGCGCGGGCGTGGGTATGGGGCGGGCATGGGCTGCGCACACCCGGCCCCGTGAGAACCGCCGTGGGGCTACTTGCTGGGATCACTGGGACAGGCCCCTTTGTTTACCTGTGGGCGAAGCCCCCATCACCCATTCGTCTGTTCAGTGAGCATTTATGGGGCACGTCCACGTGTGGTGCCTGAGGCTGAGTCTGGAGGATGCAAAAATTCAAAAATAACATGAAAAGAGGGGGAGCTGTAGGGACCCTCTCCCCAGGGCCTATGCATGCCCCATCCTCCTACAAGTCCTCCCAAACCCTTAGTCTCGTGCGACTGTTACTGCTTTAGATTCACCAGGTCCTGGGATCCCTGGGGGCTCAGGGACTGAGCGTCTGCCTTCAGCTCAGGGCGTCATCCCGGGGACCCGAGATCGAGTCCTGAGTTGGGCTCCCTGCATGGAGCCTGCTTCTCCCTCTGCCTGTGTCTCTGCCCCCCCCTCCGTGTGTGTCTCATGAATAAATAAATAGAATCTTAAAAATTTTTTTTAATTAAAAAAAAATAAATTGGTCCAGGTCGCCCTGTGCCAGCACAACCTGGAGGGCTCTCTGTGGGGGGAGTGAAGGGTGGCCCCGAGGACAGTCGCTTCCTCATTGTCTTGGAGACCTGGAGGTGTGTTCGGGGTTCGCACCGGGGATCGGCCTGGCTCCTCAGCCTGAGGCTGGCAGCCTGACCTTGGGGGAGCCCCGGCCTCCCGCGACCACCCCGTCCTAGGTGCGTGGGATACACCTCCCTAACTCCCTGGAGGGCGGGCTGAGGGCTGGGGGTGCGTGGGCTGGACAGGAGCAGACGGGAGCACAAATCCGGGGGTTAAGCGACCCCAGAAGAAGCCGGGTGACAGCAGAGGGCAGAGGGGCCCGGGGCCGCAGCGCCTCTCATGGTCCTCGGGCCCGGCCGCCCGGCCACCTGCACCCAGGGAGACGAGCCCCGTCGCCCCGGCTCCCCTCACAGTCACCCCTGTGCGCACTGACCGCTTGGTGCGGCCCTGGGGCACAGACAGGTGCCAGTCCCTGAACGAACTGAGCGCACAAGCCCTTCCTTCCTTCCTTTTTAAAAAAGATGTTATTTATTTATCCATGAGAGACCCAGAGAGAGGCAGAGACACAGGCAGAGGGAGAAGCAGGCTCGACACTGGGAGCCCGAGGCAGGACTCGATACCGGGACCCCAGGGTCACGCCCCGGGCCAACGCCCGGTGCCCAACCCTTCCCAGCCCCGCGGGAGGCGCCAGGCTGTCCCCTGGCCAGTCGTCCGTGTCCTGCTGGCCACGCGGTCCCAGGCGGGCTCTGGGGCGTCCCGCTCCGGAAGCTGCGCGGCCGGCAGGGCTGGAGGCGGCCTCCTGCCCCCTGGGCGCCCCCCGGACGCCCCCTCCGTGGGCTCGAGCCCCCGCCTCACCTGCTGCCCCAGCCTGAGATGCTTCCTGTCGGAAGATGCTGAGCCCAGAGGATGAGCCAGGCTGGCGGCAGGGGCAGAAGCCAGAGGAAGGTGGGCAGGAGGGCAGCAGGCTGCGGGGACGTGTCCACGCTCGCTCCCTACGCTGTGGAGTCCAGGGCAACGGCATGGGCGGCCCACGGGGGCGGAGGCCCGCACGACCCGGAGACCCGCAGAGGGGGCTTGAGCTGGCCCTGGGGCAGGGGGTGGGGATGGAGGGCTGGGCTGCCCGGAAGCCAGCAGCGGGGTACCTGGGGGCCCCATCAGGGTGGGACCAGGGCCCGATGTCCTGGGCAGTGCTGCGGGCTCAGGGGCTCCCCGCATCCAGCCGGGGGGTTGGGTGGGGAGCAGCACCCGCCGTCCCAGAGGCTGTGATTCCTCGCAGTCGCCTCGCCTGGGAGGGAGGGCCCGAGTCCACGGGCAAGAACAGAGCGTTGGGGGGTGGGATGCGGAAAGGCCCCGGTAGTTGCCAAGCTTTGGATTTGTCGCCCTGGACAACGAGCCTGGGGACAAGGGGGCAGGGAGGTGGGCACCGCCCCATTCAGCAGGTTCCCAACTTGGCCAGGGGCCACCTAGTGTGCCAGGCCAAGCTGGCAGGAGGAAGGGGCGCTCAGGGTGGAGGAGAGGAGGCGGCGCGGGCTCCGGGAGGGGGCTCACAGGTTCACCAGATGGTGGGGTGCGGCGGGGAGGGCCTGGGGGCGGATGTGGGGTCTGCGAGGTCGTGCGGGCGGCCAGGTGCAGGCTGAGGCCTTGCTGGCGGGGCGCCGGCCGGGAGGGGCTCGCGGGGAGAGGAGTCCAAGCTGGATACTCTGCATGTGAGGTGTTCGCAGGCTGTGGGGTCGAGTGGGGGGTGGGGGCAGCCTGACTCTGGGGCGGGATGTGGTCAGGAGGGCAGGTGGCAGGGGCGACCGCGGGCTGGGGTCACACTGCACCACGAGGGCAGGAGCCGTGGGTGTGCAGAGGCCGGGGTGCAGCCCCGCAGGGCATCCGTTGGCGCCGCCCTCCCAGGGCCGGGGCACCCTGGCCGCCACCCCTCCTCCCCGTCCTTGCCGGCTCACCTTCCCTCACCTCCGAGGCTGGTTTTCCTCCTCGGGGTGCTGGGGGCTCCCCGCAGAGCTGTGAGGACCCCGGCAGTTGGGCCGGCCCTTCTCCCAGCCGAGGGGAGCCGGGCGCCAGGCTGTTAGCTCAGGGCGCTTCCGGAGGACTGGGGTGGGCCCCGCAGGCTCCCTGCGGGTGCAGCGCCTGGTGCCCACGCCTCCTGGGTGCAGGGCGGCCTCTGCCCCTGCCCCACCCTCTGCCTTCTCCGCCGGGTCCCCGTGGGTCCCACCAGGCTGGCCCCAGGGTCCCCAAGGGTCCGGTGAGGAGATGGAGCCAGTGCCCCAGAGAGCCTGCCCTGCAAGGCTTGGGGGAGAAGCGGGCTGGAGGACAGGAGCCGGGTAGGGGACAGGGAGGGGGGAGGGGCAGGGAGAGGGGGAGGGGAGCTTCCAGGCCCTGCTGCGCCTGGGCTGCGATGGCCAGTCACCCTCCTCGCCCCACTGGGGCCGTGTCCACGACGCCCGCCACCCGGACCCACACGCCTCCCTCCCCACCGGGCCCAGGGAGATGCTGGTCCCTCGGGTTCCCCACGACCCAGCAGGGGACCCCACACCCTTCCCTCTTTGGGGCTCCTGGGGGCCGTCCCCGCAGTGGGGCCCAGGGAATCAAATCCCAGATGAAGAGCAGGAGCCTTTCACGTGTGAGTGTGTCCCACACACCGCGCGGCTCACACCTACGTCCAAAGCGTTCCGCGGTCATCGGGGCTGCGATGTAACGGCGCGTCCTTCCCTGCCGCCCGGCAGCCCGGTGCCCCAGCTTCCCTCCAGCGCCCTCCTCAGTGCCCCCAGTGCCCCCAGCGCCCGCCCAGCCCTTGGGAGCCGCACCCCCGTCACCCAGCGGCCCAGCCAGGGCGCCGTCGGGCCTGCACATCCCGGGCTCCCTGAGTACCCCCACTGCTCAGCCGCCTGCTGCCTCTTCTGCCGCCTCCCCCAGGCCGGCCGCCTGCCTGCCTGCACCCAGGTGGAGCAGCTGGATGCTGGGCTGGAGGTGGCTCAACGGGGGGGGGGGGGGCACTGGCCACGGCCCGGATGCAGTGGCCTCCTTTTTCCCAAAGAGATCTCAGCCTGGTTCTGAGCGGTCACTGTCTGGCCCGGCCGAGGGCCCTCGACTCGAGACCCATGCATGTGTGACCTCCAGCCCGCCCACCACGGGCGAGGTCCCCGGGCCCGGGCGTGGGGTGACTGTGACTCTGGCCCTGCCGACCCGACGCCAGCCTCTCTGCTTTCAGCTCCCTGCGGGCCTCCTTCGAGTGCCTGAAGCAGCGTAAGTCCTGCGTGTCCCCAACCCCAGGCTGCGGGGGGCCAGGACCTTCTGGGAACACCCCCGTCCCCACAGATGGAGGTAGAGGGGTGCCAGGCGGCTGGTGGGGGGTGGCTCCGGGCGGAGGCCCCACGCCACGTGCTTGCCCCCAGAAATGGAGAACGTGGGCAGCTCCCACATCCAGCTGGCCCTGGCCCTGCGTGAGGAGCTGCGGGGCCTCGAGGAGTTCCGCGAGAGACAGAAGGAGCAGAGGAAGAAGGTGAGGCCGGGCCACCCGGGGGCACGGCAGGGGGCACGGCGGGGGGCACGGTGGGGGACATGGCGGGGAGGGGCCCGAGGGCACGGGGGCTGGGCCTCCCCTGAGCGGCTCAGGCCGGAGGAAGGAGAGGAAGGAGAGCCATTGGCCTTTTTGATTATGCTGCACAGCAGGCCGGAGGGTCCCTGAAGTCTGGGGGGACCCAAAGGAGGCGTCCTGATTTGGAGTCACCAGAAACCGGTCCCGAGCCGCAAGAGTCAGGGCTGCTTGTCGGGAGAAGGGCAGGTGGTGGCAGCCGCTCTGCAGGCCGCCCGGGCGGAGGGGGCGCTGGGGGTGTCCGGCTTCCCCGACACCCACCGGTCCTTTCACCCTTGGGAAGGCCTGGCAAGGAAGTGAGGTCCCTGTCACGGGAGGTGTGCAAGCAGAGTCTGGGGCAGCAGGGGCGGGGTGCCCTTGGGGCCTCAGCTCCCTCCCAGGCTGAGGCTCTGGCCGCGCTAGTGGCAGCTGGGAAGGCGGCGGGGCCCCCTGCTCAGCCCGTCGCGGCTGTCGTGACGAAGGTGCAGGGCACACGCGGCACCTGTCGCCGGGGATGAAGGACCCTTGCGAACTGTCCGGAGGCCTGAAGACGGGGAAGTCCACCCAGCTGAGCCGTGAAGGGGAAGGGCCTGGGGGCTCCTGGGGGGCCTCGGTCCCCTGTCGCAGGCCAGCTGCTATGCCTGCCCCCCACGCTGTGGGACCGGGCTTTGGCCCCTCGGTCTCTGCGCTGGACCCTCTGTGCAGTGTGGCCGGGCCCTGTCCCCGGCTGCCAGTGGCGTTTGGGCTTGCATGCGGCCTGGGTCAGCGGCCTCCAGGGCCCTGAGGCGCCTCAGGGTCCGGGCAGCGGCACCCCCGACCGGGCCTGCCTGCAGCGGGCAGAGCCCCCACCAGCGCAGCCGGGCCCCCACCTGCCTCTTTGGGGTCTTCTTGTGGCCAGAGGGGCTGTGAGGGCTGCAGACGCCGTGGAGCCCAAGAGCACGCTGGAGCCCGGGGTCGGAGCCGCGAGGCCGCCCAGGGCACAGCAGGGCCCGCGTGGGCGCCGGGAGGGGCAGCCTGCGGCCCGACCCCAAGCAAGCAGCCTGGTCCTGCACCCCGCGGCCCAGTGTCTGAGGCTGAGGGTCCTTGTCTGCCCGAACGGAAGCCCCGAGGGGCAGTAGCCCGGGTGCCCATGGGGACAGGCGTCCGGGGACGCGAGCGCCCACCTGGGTGCACGGCCACGGCTGCGCGCAGGACACGGGCGGGCGCTTCGTGGGGCCCGAGGGCCCGCGAGTGAGCCCGGCGTGCTGGGCAGGGGGCCCGAGTCCCCACGGGGTCCACACCACAGCGGCCAGACGGCCACACCGCGCCCCGGGCCCTGGGCTTCCGTCCGGGGCAGGACCGTGGACGAGTGGGGCGGTGGGAGGGGGGGCAGGGGGCTGCTGGGCCTCCCCTGGGCCACCCCGGCTAGGGCCCCTGCTCAGAGCCTCGCGTCCCCTGCAGTACGAGGCCGTCATGGACCGGGTCCACAAGAGCAAGCTGTCCCTGTACAAGAAGGCCATGGATGTGAGTGTGAGGGGACTGGCCCCGAGGGAAGCCCTGGGGTCCACGGGGCCGGGGTGCAGACGCAGACGGGGCGCCGGGTCCCCAAGGGCTCCAGGGCGGGAGAGGCCTCCCTGCGCAGGGATGAGGATGCAGGCGCGGCCGGGGGTGCTGGGGCCTGATGCGAGGACGGGGCCGTGTCCCCAGGGGAAGGGCGAGCAATGCCCCCCCTGCTCCGCCCCGGGAGGAGGCCTGCACCCCACCCACGGGCCCGCCAGGGAGAAGGGAGCCTCAGTCTGGGCCCCCCTCGCCTCTCCTCGCCCCCAGTCCAAGAAGTCGTATGAGCAGAAGTGCCGGGACGCTGATGACGCGGAGCAGGTGTTCGAGCGCATTAGCACCAATGGGCCCCAGAAGCAGGTGGAGAAGGTGCGTGGGGCCGCTGAGGCCGAGCGCTGTCCCCGGGGCTGCAGCAGGGTGAGGACGGGAGGGAGGGGTGCCACGGACACCCCAGGAAGGTCAGCATCTGGGGCACCTGCTCAGCGCCCCTGAACCACCGTGTCCCTAGCTGTGAACCGGGTTTCCGAGAATCTGAGGCCTTGGGCGGACAGCCAGCTGGCCCCCACGTAGCCTTTGGAGAGGGGCTCAGTACACCCATGCCACAGAGGGGAAACTGAGGTCCGGACACGGTGAGTGACTGGCCGAGGTCTCGGAGCCAGGGGCCGTGAAGAGAGGACGTACACCAGCTCATCCGGAGCCCGGCACCCACTGCTTGGGCCTCTGGGTTGGGGGGGCGTCAGGGACACCGGGGCCCAAGGGCGGACGTGCCCAGTGCCCGGAAGGGAAAGCCCGGCCCAGAGGGCAGGGGGCTGGGGCTGAATTAGGGCAGCGGGTTGAGGGCCCAAGGGCAGCGCCAGGCCACCCTCCCCCAGCTCCTCGCATCCGCCTTCACACACATGGGCTACGCGCTTCTGTGTTTAGTTTCTTTATTGGACCCTCTCTGGTTGTGGTCGCTGGTGGGCAAGGCTGGAGTGAGCGGCGGGACCTGCCCATGGCCGGCTCCCGGTGTCCTCCCGGGGGCCCAGGAGAGTGGGACAGCAGACCTCAGAACCCCCGGGGGCGGGGACCCCATAGGGTGCCCAGCTCAGCCCTGCTCCCCTGTGTCTCCCCAGAGCCAGAACAAGGCCAAGCAGTGCAAGGACTCAGCCCTGGAGGCAGGTACGCGGCCCTGCCCTTCCCCCGACCCGGGACAGTGGCCCGTCCCCCCCGCCCCCCCCAATCCTCACCCTGGGGACACACACAGGCACACGACTACCTGGAGGTATGCGCCCGCCACTCTCCTGTGATCCTGCCAGTAAAACCCAAGCTCACGTCCTCCCGTTTGTCAGGACTGCTCTTGGTGCCCGGCGTGTTTCGGCCACTCCCCCTAACAACCCTGAGTTTTTATTTTTTATTTATTTATTTTTTCAACCCTGAGTTTTTAATTGGAGTGTAGTTGTCATATGATGTTGTGCTCATTTTGGGTGTGCGACCTAGTGACTAGACTGTCATAAGTGTCACGAGACGCTCCCCTCCATATCCGCGGTTTCCATCACCGTCACCGAGCAGCGTCGTTCCGAGATCGCTGGCCATTCCCCAGGCAGCCCCTCCTGGATCCTACACACGGGAGCTGCGCCTCGGGATCCCCTTCGCCCACCGGGCACATCTTCCCCCGCCCTCGCCCCCAGGAAACCACCAGTTTGTTCTCTATTTTTATGGCTCTGCTTCTGTTTTTTTTGTTGTTGTTGTTGTTGTTTATTTTTTTAGATTTCACACACATCGTGGAACCATACAGCATTTCTCTTTCTCTGACTTATTTCACTTGACATCACACCCTCTAGGCCCATCCATGTTGTCGTAAATGACAAGATTCCATTCTCCTCTATGGCTGAGTAATATTCCATCCCACTTCTTCACCGCTCGTCAGCCAGTGGACATTCGGGCTGCCCCCACATCTTGGCTGTTGTATAGATAGTGCTGCAGGGAACATAGGGGTGTGTGGATCTTTTCCAACTAGTGGTTTCATTTTCTTCAGGTAAATACCCGAATGTGGAATTACTGGATTGCACGGTATTTCTGCTCCTAATGTTTTGAGGAAGCTCCATACCATGTTCCACAGTGGCTGTGCCACTTTGCATTCTCACCGAGAGTGCAGGAGGGTGTCCCTCCCTTCACATCCTCACCAGCACTTGTTTCTTGTCTTTTTGATACTTACCATTTTGCCATTTTGACTGGTATAGAGCGATAGCTCACTGGTTTTGACTTGCATTTCTCTGATGATGAGTGACGTTGTGCATCTCTTCACGTGTCTGTTGGCCATCTGGGTGTCATTTTTGGAAAAATGCCTGTTCAGGTCTTCTTATTCTTTAATCAGATTGGTTCTTCTTCTTCTTCTTCTTCTTCTTCTTCTTCTTCTTCTTCTTCTTCTTCTTCTTCTTCTTCTTTTTAAGCTTTAGTTATTTATTTGAGAGAGAGAGCCAGAGGGAGGGAGAACGTGTGGTGGGAGGTGGACAGAGAGGCCAAGCAGACCCCCTGCTGAGTGCAGGGCCCAGCTTGGGGCTTGATCCCATAACCCTGAGATCATGACCTGAGCTGAAACCAAGAGTCAGATGCTTAACTGACTGTGCCACTGAGGTGCCCCCAGATTGTTTCTTTTTTTTTTTAATGTTGAGTTATATGAGTTCTCTATATATTTTGAATATTTTTTAAAGATTTATTTATTTATTTATTTATTTATTTATTTATTTATTTATTTATTTATGATAGACATAATGAGAGGCAGGGGGCAGAGGCACAGGCAGAGGGAGAAGCAGGCCCCATGCAGGGAGCCCAACGTGGGACTTGATCCCGGGTCTCCAGGATCGTGCCCTGGGCCAACGGCAGCCACTAAATCGCTGAGCCACCCAGGGATCCCCTATATTTTGAATATTACCCCCTTATCTTCTCCCATTCAGTTGGTCGTCTTTTTCATTTTGTTGATGGTTTTCTTTGCTTTGGAAAAGCTTTTTGGTTTGATGTAGTTCCAATTGTTTATTTTTGCTTTTGTTTCCTTCCTTTGACTGAAGGAACAGATCCAGAAAATATCGCTAAGGTGACATCCAAGGATTTACTGCCTACGTTTTCTTTTAGGACTTTATGGTTTCAGATCTCAAAATTAGGTCTTTAATCCATTTTGGGTTTGTTTTTGTGTATGGTATAAGGAAGTGGTCTGGTTTCATTATTTTGGATGTAGTTCTCAGTTTTTCCAATGTCATTTATTGAAGAGACTGTCTTTTCCCCCATTGTATAGTCTTGCCTCCTTTGTCATATATTAATTGACCATAGAAGCATGGGTTTGTCTCTGGGCTTTCTATTCTGTTCCATTGCCCAAAGGATCTGTTTCTGTGCCAGTACGTGTTTTGATTACTACAGCTTTGTTTTTTTATTTATTTATAATTTTTTAAAAGATTTTATTAATTTATTCATGAGAGAGAGAGAGAGAGAGAGAGAGAGAGAGGCAGAGACACAGGCAGAGGGAGAAGCAGGCTCCATGCAGGGAGCCCGACGTGGGACTCGATCCCGGGTCTCCAGGATCACACCTGGGGTTGAAGGCGGTGCTAAACCGCTGAGCCACCTGGGCTGCCTGATTACTACAGCTTTGTAATAAAGTTTGAAACTTGGAATTGTAATACCTCCAGCTTTGTTCTTCCTTCTCAAGATTGCTTTGCCTGTTCAAGGTCTTTCATGGTTCCATACAAATTTTAGGATTTGTTCTAGTTCTGTGAAAAAGTATTGTTGGTGTTTTGATAGGAATTGTATTGAATCTGTAAATTTCTTAGGGTAGTGTGGGCCTTGTAACAATATTTTTTTTTTAATTTTTTTTTAATTTTTATTTATTTATGATAATCACAGAGAGAGAGAGAGAGGCAGAGACACAGGCAGAGGGAGAAGCAGGCTCCATGCACCGGGAGCCCGATGTGGGATTCGATCCAGGGTCTCCAGGATCGCGCCCTGGGCCAAAGGCAGGCGCCAAACCACTGCGCCACCCAGGGATCCCCGCCTTGTAACAATATTAATTATTCCAATCCATGAGCATGGTATACCTTTCCATTTATTTGTGTCGTCTTCAATTTCTTTCATCAAGGCCCACAGAGTATAGGTCTTTCATTTCCTTAATTTATTCCTAGGTATTTTATTCTTTTTGGTGCAATTATAAATGGGATTGTTTCCTTTTATTTTAAGATTTTATTTATGTATTTATTCATGAGAGACACAAAGAGAGAGGCAGAGACACAGGCAGAGGGAGAAGCAGGCTCCACTCAGGGAGCCCCACGTGGGACTCAATCCCGGGACCCCAGGGTCATGCCCTGGGCTGAACGCAGTGCTAAACTGCTGAGCCACCTGGGCTGCCCATGGGATTGTTTCTTTCTTTCTTTTTTTTTTTTTTCCCATGGGATTGTTTCTTAATTTCTCTTTTCACTAGTTCATTATTGGTGTTTTGTATACTGCAACTTTACTGAGTTCACTTATTAGTTTTCATAGTTTTTTGGTGGAAGCTTTAGGGTTTTATTTTTTTTTAATTTATTTATGATAGAGAGAGAGAGAGAGAGAGAGAGAGAGAGAGAGAGAGGTAGAGACATAGGCAGAGGGAGAAGCAGGCTCCATGCCAGGAGCCCGACGCAGGACTCGATCCTGGGACTCCAGGATCACGCCCTGGGCCAAAGGCAGGCGTCAAACCACTGAGCCACCCAGGGATCCCCGCTTTAGAGTTTTCTATATATAGTGTCATGTCATCCACAAATAGTGAGTTTTACTTCTTCCTTACTAATTTGGATATGTCTTTTTCTTTGCTGATTGCTGAGTAAAAATGGTAAGAATGGACATCCTTGTTTCGTTCCTGATCTTAACAGGCAAAGCTTTCACCTTTTCACTACTGAATATGGTGTTAGCTATGATTTGTCATTGATGGCCTTTATTATGTTTAAGTATGTTCCCTCTAAACTCACTTATTGAGAGTTTTTGTCATGAATGAATGTTGAGTGTTGTCAAATAGCTTTTCTGCATCCATTATTTCAGTAGTCTCTTACAATCCTTTGTATTTTTTTGGTGTCAGTTGCAACTTCTCCTCTTTCATTTCTGATTTTATCTGAATCCTCTTTCTTTTGGTCCTGATGAGTCTGGCTGAAGGTTTATCAATTTTGTGTATCTTTTCAAAGAATTAGCTCTTAGTTTTATTGATCCTTTTTGGGTTGTTGTTGTTTCTGGTCTCTATTTCATTTATTTCCACTCTAATCTTTATTATTTCCTTCCTTCTACCAACCTTGGGGTTTGTTGTTTTTCTAGTTCCTTTAGATGTAAGATCAGATTGTTCATTTGGGGGTTTTCCTGTTTCTTGAGGCAGGCCTGTATTGGTATAAACCTCCCTCTTAGAATTGCTTTTGCCACCTCTCAGAGATTCTGAAATGTTAAGTTTCCATTTTCGTTCATCTGCAGGTATTCTTTGGTTTCCTTTTTGAATTCCTCATTGACTCATTGGTTGTTTAGTAGCATGTTGTTCAGTCTCCGTGTATTTTTTCTTTTTTTTTTTCAGTTTTTTTTTTTCCGTGTAACTGATTTCTAGTTTCATGCTGTTGTGATCAGAAAGGACGTTTGATAGTATCTCAATATTCTTAAATTTACTGAGACTTGTTTTGTGGATCTAACATGTGATCTATTCTGGAGAATGTTCCATGTGCACTTGAAAAGAATTTGTATCCTGATGTTTTGAGGTGGGATCTTCTCTACATATCTAAGTTCATGCAGTCTAAGGTGTCAAAGACATTGTTTCCTGATTTTCTGCCTAGATGATCTATGCATTGATGTCAGTGGAGCGTTAGTCTCCTAATATGGTATTACTGTCGATCTCTCCCTTTGTGTTTGTTATTATTTGCTTTATATATTAAGTTACCCTACATTGGGTGCATGGATATTTACAACTGTTATCTCCTTTTACTGGACTGATCCCTTTATCATTGTGTAATGCCCATCTTTGTCTCTTATTACAGTCTTTTAAAAAAGTCCATTTTGCTTGATAGCTGTAGTTTGACCCCAGCTTTGTTGCTGTTGCTTCCATTTGCATGGAATATCTTTTTCCATCCCTTCACTTTCGACCCGTATATGTCTTTAGGTCTGAGGTGAGTCTCTTGCAGGCAGCATATAGATGGGCCTTACTTTTTTAAAAAAAGATTTTATTTATTAGAGTAAGTGAGAGTGGGGTGGTGGGGGCAGTGGTGGAGCAGAGGGTGAGGGACAAGCAGACTCTGAGGAGTGCAGCTCCCGGTGCTGGGCTTGCTCCCACGAGCCTGAGATCAGGACCTGAGCCGAAATCAAGAATCAGATGCTCAACTGACTGAGCCCCTGGATGGGTCTTATTTTTTATCCATTCAGTCACCCTATGTCTTTTTTCATTTATTTATTTATTTATTTACCCTATGTCTTTTGATTGGAGCATTTAGTCCATTTTATTATTTATTTATTTATTTATTTATTTATTTATTTATTCATTCATTTATTTATTTATTTATTTATTTATTTATTTATGATTTTATTTATTTATTCATGAGAGACACAGAGAGGGAGGCAGAGACACAGGCAGAGGGAGAAGCAGAATCCACGCAGGGAGCCCGACGTGGGACTCGATCCTGGGTCTCCAGGATCAGGCCCTGGGCTGAAGGAGTGCTAAACCACTGAGCCACCTGGGCTGCCCAGTCCATTTCTATTTAAAGTTATTATTGATAGGCATGTGTTTATTGACATCTTGCTGTTTTCTGGTTGTTTTTGTAGTTCTCTTGCTCTTTTCCTTTGTGATTTGATAACTTTCTTTAATGTTATACCTGGATTTTTATTTTTTTGTGTATCTATTATCAGGTTTTCGGTTTGTGGTTGTTATGAGGTTCATATATGATACTCTGTGTATACAGCAGTTTATTTTTTGTTGATGGTCGCTTAAGTTCCAACACATTCTAAAAGCTCTATATTTTTATTCCTTCCCTACTTTTTATGCATATGATGTCATATTTTACATCTTTTTATTTTGCATATTCCTTAATTTTTATACCTATAATTGGTTTTACTACTTCTGTCTTTAAACTTTCATACTAGATTGATAAGTGACTGACCTATTATTTTTACAATATGTCTGCTTTTACTGGTGACATTTCTTCCCTTTCATAATTTTACATCTAGTTTGGCCTTTTCTTTTCCATTTAAAGAAGTCCATTTAACATTTCTTGTAAGGTCAGTTTTGTGATGATGAACTACTTTAACTTTACTTTGAGAAATTCTTTATCTCAATTGTGAATGATACTCATGCTAAGTAGAGTATTCTTGGTTTTAGGGTTGTTTATTGTTGTTGTTTTTTAAATCTCTACACCCAACGTGGGGCTCAAACTCACAACCCTGAGATCAAGAGTTGCCTGCTTCTAACTGAGCCAGCCAGGCACCCTTTAGGTTTTTGTCTTTTATTTTTCCTAGTTATATTTTTCAGCTCTGCTTGTTTTGTTTTTAATATTTTCTATCTCTTTATTGAGGTTCTGAATTCATCCACTCTCAAGTCTGATGAGCATTTTTATGACTATTACTTTTTTATTTTATTTTAATTTAATTTAATTTTATTATTTTATTATTTTATTTTTTTTGACTATTACTTTTAACTCTTTATCAGGTAGATTGTTTATCTTTGTTTTGTTCTTTTCTGGGGTTTTTGTCTTGTTCTTTCATTTGGAACACATTCCTTTTCTCCCCATTTTGTGTGTTTGTTTATATGTGTTTGGTAGGCGACAGCAGAGGTCTTATGTAGGTGGGAGCCTGGGGGGCCCAGTAGCACAATCCTTCCTGTTCACTAGAATCAAGGCTCTAGAGGTGTCACCTGCGTGGGGCCCTCTGCCGCCTTCCTGTCGTGATCTGGCCGTGACAGCGGCAGGCTTGCTGGTGGGCAGGGCTGGCCACTAAGTGGCTAGTGGAGAGGGTTGGCTGCAGCTGCTCCAGGTGTGCTGGTGTGGGAGGTTGGCCCCCAGCAGCTTGGCTGCACTGTTGCGTCCCCCTTTGTGACAAATGAGGAAACTGAGACACGGAGAGCTTAAGTTACTACCGCAGGTCACACAGCCAAGCGGTGGTCTGCGTGTGAACCCAGGCTGTCTGGCTCCGGAGCCCGGAACCTACAGCAGCCGTCATGGGAGACAGACCCACTCCCCCCCCAAGCACACGGAGGCTTCTCTGGGCCCCCGTCTCTTCCATTCTTCCATCCTTCACCTGACGCCAGAAGCCCCCAGCCCCAGCATCCTTTGTGTCTGTTGGCACACCTCCTAGGACAGAGAGCTCACTCCCTGCCCCCCGCGGAAATGCGCTCCCTCCTGCTCCGCCTCTCCCGGGACCCAGCTGCTCCTTTGGCTGGCAGACAGATGCCCCCCAGGTTTCTAGGACTGGAGGTTCCACTCAGCAGCTCGCATCCCCCCTCAGTACCGCCCTCTCCCAGCCTGTCTCCCGTCCAGCAGGTGTGAGAGGGTGGGACCCAGGGGTGCCAAGAGGCCTGGCCTCGCACCCTGAGGCCTGGGGTGTACAGCTGCCCTGGGCCACCCAGAGTGCAGCGGGGGAGCTGGTCCCCCCCAAGGTGCCGGACGGGCGTCCAGGGGAAGAACCGGGCCAGGGAGGAAGGGGCTCCGCAGGGCCCCGGGGGCTGGGGCGCCGGCCCGCCTCCCTGAGGACCCCTGTGCCTCCAGAGCGGGTCTACCGGCAGAACGTGGAGCAGCTGGAGAAGGTGCGGGGCGAGTGGGAGCAGGAGCACCGGACAGCGTGTGAGGTGAGGCCCCGCCGCGTCCCTGCCTCCCGCGTGTCCGCGGCCCCGTGCACCCCCTGTGTGCCCCGTCGCGGCCGAGCCCGCAGCCACGCGCCCTGCACCCCTTGCCGCTGACCCACACGCAGACGGGGCCCCTAGCCCGGGTGCTGCGGGGGGACCGGACCGGGCTGGGGACCGGGTTCGGGGCTCGGGCCGCAGCCTCGCGTCTCCCGGCCTCCCCGCCCGCCCCCAGGCCTTCCAGCTGCAGGAGTTCGACCGACTGACCATCCTCCGCAACGCCCTGTGGGTGCACTGCAACCAGCTGTCCCTGCAGTGCGTCAAGGACGACGAGGTGCGGCTGGGCGCGGGCGGGGGGGGGGGGGCGCGTGGGGCCGCGGTGGCCTCGGCCTCAGGGTCCTGGTCCCCACCCTGCTCACGGGGCCACCAGTCCCGCTGTGCACACGCTTGGGCTTGGCCTGGCCCCCGCCCTGGCCTCCCGGCGGTGCTCGGAGGAGCCTGGGCCTCGGGGCCTCTCACAGGGACCCCAAAGTCTGGCTGCATGGTCCCCACTCACCCCCGGGGCCAAGTCCCTGTCCCTCTGGCGCTTCCTTGTCTTTTGGAGGACAGAGGCACATCCCGGGGACCCTGGGCCGAGCAGGTGCTCGGGAGCCCAGAGAGGTGGCCGGGCCCCAGGGCGCCCCGCAGGGAGGAGGCTGGGGGTGGGGGGGGCTGAGGCCCCCTGAGCAGCACCTGGAGCGCGGCCCCCTCAGCCCCCCTCGGCCCCCCTTGCCCCCAGCTCTACGAGGAGGTGCGGCTGACGCTCGAAGGCTGCAGCGTGGAAGCCGACATCGACAGCTTCATCCAGGCCAGAAGCACAGGCGCCGAGCCCCCAGGTGAGCCCGGCCCGGGCCGCAGAGTTGCGGGGCCCCGGTGTCCCCAGGAGGCCCGGCCCCAGCCCTGAAGCTCCTCTCTGGACAAGGCGGGCAGCTCCGTGGGGACAGAGCAATTCCCCGCCGGGTACAGCAGCGAGGAGAGCTGGAAGGGGGGCGGGGGGGCGCCCCGGGGCCTGCTGGGCTCCCCTGGGGCCGGAGCCCGGGACGCCTGCTCTCCGTGGGGCCCACAGCGGGCGCCTGAGCTGCGAGCGGCCTCTCCCTCAGCTCCGAGGCAGCCTAGGGCCAGACGGCAGCTGGGGTCCCCGTCGGGGTCTGTGCATGGGGACAAGTTGGGGTAGCAGGTGGCAGAGGTCCTGCCTGCCGGGGCCACCCAGCCTCACAGCCTGCTGCCCGCAGCTCCGGTGTCCTTCCAGAACTACTACGACCGAGAGGTCACCCCGGCAGCCGGGAGCCCCAGCACGCAGCCATCCTGCGGCATGATCAAGAGGTGAGGTGACCGCTGGGCCTGGGCCCGGCCCCTCCACCTGCGGGCGGCCCTTCCTCACCTGCTTGCTGAGCACCCACTGCGGGGCTGCTGTTAGGTGTCAGGCACTCTGGGGAGAAGCCGACTCAATCGAGCCTCATGACACCCACAGCCCCAGGGGTCCCAGGCATTAAGCAAATCATCACACCCGTTGACTAGGCATGACTGTGCTCAGAGCTACCGAGACCCCAGGCTGGCCCCCTCGTCCCTGGGCCCCGCTGCTCCCCCTCGTCCCTGGGCCCCGCTGCTGGCCTGCGTCGGTGGCAGGGCTGTCGTGCTGCAACGGGGACACTGCGGCTGGTGCGGATCCGGGCACAGGGCTGGCCCCGCACAGCGACTCTCCCGGCCCCTCCTCGGCCCGGCTGCAGGACCCAGGGGCCTTGTGTCACCGTGTCGCTGCACCGGTCACTCGCCTTCCTTGGGCCCAGGGACTTGGGACTGGTTCCCAGGAACCAAGGACTTGGTTCGGGCCTGGGGTGACCAGGGCGAAGGCCCACTAGGAGCAGCACCACCTGCCCGGGGAGCCCTCGGCAGCCGGCTCCTGAGGGGCCCTTGGGCCCTGCCGGCGGGCGTCTGAGCATCCGCGGTCTCGCGTGGTGCCCGTGCCCCCACCCCAGGGCCCTGCGACGCCCTCTCCCCATCCAAGCTCATGCAGAGAAGGCCCTGCCTGTGGGTGGTCGGCAGGATGGGGACGGGTTACGGGCCTCCCAGGCCTCTGAGCCCCCGGAGCGCCCCCTGCAGGCCGCCCCGGAGGCAGGGAGCACAGCGTGTCCGTCCAGGAGCCGGGAGAGAGCAGTGACCCCAGGGGGGCAGTCACAGCCTCACAGCTGCACCAAGTGTGACCCTGGGGCACGCAGGCCGCCCTGCAGCCCTGGGGGGACCCGGACCTCAACAGGGGGCTGTGCAGACGACAGGATGGGAGAGCTCCCGGGCGTAGTGTCGAGGAAGGACAGACGGCCGAGACAGAAGTCCCACTGGGTGGAGGCGGCCTGGCTCCTGGGGTGGGCGGGGGTCACCATGGGGGGGCAGCACGGGGAAGGGGCCAGCGGCCGGCACAGGGGGCCAGCAGGGACTCGGGAACCGCTGTCCCGGTACAGCCAACTGTGGAGCCGGGCAGCGGGGCCTGCGGCAGCCCCACCCCACCAAGCTCGTTCCTCCGGCCGTGGCCCCGCTGCCTGCCCCCTGCCTGTCCCCCTGCCCGGGCTCCCGGAGGGGCAGGGCCGTCCCATTAGTGTGGGGCCTGCTGGGCCTGTGCCCCCCGAGGCCAGGCTCACACACACACGTCCGAGTTCCCATCCCGCCGTGTCCCCCCAAGAGGGTCCGACCCCTCCTGGCTCCCGTGCGCCCAGGGGGCCCCTCCATCCCGCACACGCTCCACCGGAGCGGAGCCCCCGTGACCCGCAGCCTCGCAGGGCTTGGCTCCACCCCATGACGCCTGCGCCTGCCTGGCCCTCAGCGCTGCCCGCTTCGTGGGGTCCCCCCGTTTTACTTCATGAGCCTCCGTGACTCCCGCCTGCCGGGCTCGGAGCCCCCACCTGCGGGGTCAGGGCCGGCTGGGCCGGGTCGCCGTGGGGTGCAGGCCCCGGGCCATGAGTGGGCTCCCTCGCCAGGCGGATGGAGGATGGAGCGGCGGTGGGGGGTGCGGGGCCCCAGGAGCGGGGAGGGGGGGGCCACTTGGGGAAGGCCACCTGCCCCCCCCCCCCCCCCCCCCGGGCCGACCTGCCTTCCCGTCCGCAGGTTCTCCGGGCTGCTGCACGGAAGTCCCAAGGCCTCGGCGGTGGCAGCTTCCGCAGGTGACTGCGGGGGACGGGCCAGCGCTACCCTGGGGGGAAGGGAGGCCCCGCAGGGCACAGGGGGCCCAGCCCAGGGTCGGGGGGGGGGGGCTGCGGGCTCACACGGTTTCAGCCTCCGCAGAGACCCCGAGCGCGGCCCCGGGACAGGCCGAGGGTGTCTACAGCAGCATCGTGGTGAAGGAGGCCCTGGGGCCCCCCGCCTACCGGGCGCTCTACGACTACGTGGCCCAGGTGAGGCCAGGCCCCCCCCCCCCCCGAGGGCTGCGGAGGGCGCGTGCCCCTGGAGCAGCACCCAGCCCGGGGGCTCAGCTGCCACTGGGGAGCGGGCAAGAACGGGGGCGCACCTCGGCTGGGCCCGGGCCATGGGGCGGCTGTGTGACCCTCGGGTCCAGGCCACTCCCTGCTTGACGGGAGGGTCGCAGAGCCCCCCGGGCACACCTGGATTGAGGCCTGGGGCTACAGGGGCATGTGGACCCCCAAGCCTGGTCTGCGTTGGCGGGGGAAGGAGAGGGAGCATCCGCGGGGCAGGGGTCAGCTCAGCAGCTGTGGGGGCTGGGGCAGCAGAGAAAGTGGGGGGCCCAGGGCGGGGGAGGCAGCAGGCTGAGCCTCACAGGGCCCTCCTCCCTGCGAGCCTGCAAAGGCCCCCCAGCCCCAGGGCCCCCGCCCACCTGGTGGCCAGCTGGCACCTGCTGTCTGGGGCGGGGTGCCGACGGACCCCCCCACCCCCTGCGGCCCTTCCAGCCCGGCCTGCTCTCATTCCCTTGCCCAGAATTCCGACGAGTTGAACATCTCCGCGGGGGACGTCCTGGAGGTCATCCTGGAAGGGGAGGACGGCTGGTGGACAGTGGAGCGCAACGGGCAGCGCGGCTTCGTCCCTGGCTCCTACCTGGAGAAGCTCTGAGGGGTGGAGCCCCCCAACCGCCCTGCTGGGCCGGGATGGGGTCCGAGGGGGGCCCGCCCCCCCATGGTGTTGGCCGCTCTCTGCACGGTATCAGCACCGGGAATAAAGGAGTGCGTTGCCCTCTCCCTGGTCTGCAGGGTCCCGTTCACTCTTCGGCCCTCACGTCTAAGCGTCTAGTCCAAGATGGGGCCGCGGAGTGCAGGGAGGGAGACGTGGGGGGGGGGGTGCACCGGGACAGGCCCCCTCCTCCCCCAGCCATCTGCTGGGGAGGGAGCAGGGCCCTGGGCCCAGACCGCCAGGGAGACGGACACCCGGGTAAAGGGAAGGGGGGGAGCGGTAAGGGGGGGCAATGGGGGGTGATGGGGACCTGGAAGGGCAGCGGCAGGCAGGGAAGGGCACCCCGAGGAGAAGGGCGCCAGGTGGGGTATGAGCACGGGGTGGGGGGGGCCCGTGCGAGGTGGGATCTGGGATGAGCCAAGCTCAGTCTGCTGAAGAGGCTGTGGCTCCGCTGCAGGGAGGGGGCCACGTGCAGCAGGGAGGGCAGCCGAGCACCTGCTGGGGCAGTGGTCCTGCCCCCACACCCAGCCGAGGCCCACGGGAGGCCTGGAGGCCAGGGAGGCCGGGGAGGCTGGGGCTGCGGCACCTTGGCCCGTTGGCAGGAAGCCCTCCCGGGCGGGGGTTCCCCTCTGATGCTCTTGGGCCTCTTCTTGCACCCGGAGCCCAGGAACAACTGCCACCGCTGGCCTGGGAGGCCCCTGCTCGGCCGAGGCACCCGGGGGGGGGTTACAGGCCCCTGAGGAGCAGCTCCCGCAGCCTGGACGGCTGCCCACTGGGTCCAGAGGCCTCGGTCCTGCATTGCTCAGGGAGCCCGCAAGCGGCCCGGGGACCAGCGACAGGACCGTCCCGAGGCTGAAGGCGCCACAGGCTTCTGAGGGTCGGTGACACAGGGACAGTGCGGGACCGGGAAGGCTCCCCGGGAAGGGGCAGGCCCTCGGCTCCGCCGCTCCCCACAGGCTGTGGCACCAGCAAAGCCCCGGGCCTGGGCCGGGAGGGGACCGTCCCGCGGCCCCGCAGCCCCAGCCAGGCCTCCTCCTCGTGGCCGAGCAAGCCTGGCGCCTGGCCTCAGGGACACAGGCGGGACACGGCGGGACACGGGCTTGGCAGGCAGCCGGCGGGCTGCGGGGCCCAAGCAGCAGCACTGCGCCGGACCGGGGGTGGGGGCTCACCCACTTGGCTCCCCGGGGGGTGGGGAAGGGCCTCCGGCTTCTCAGAAAAATCAGATCGAGACTGAGATCCTTCTGGAAATGTCCTCTTCCCCTGTAAGGCACTTCCTACAAGAGAACCGACCCCACGCCTGGACACGTCTGACGCCCTAAGTAGGGATGTTGGCAAAGAAAAATGCCGCCGCGTGCTGGGTCTGCTCTCCCCGGGGAGACGGGTGAAGGGTCTACGAAGGGTTCTGCGGGCGGCCCCAGCCGAGACCGGCAGGCACCAGGAGGGGACGCGACAAGGTGTCCCGAAGGCTCCTGGGGCTGAGCCTGTGCCTGAGAACGGGGGGGGGGGGGGGCGGGGGGGGCAGGCGGCACTAGGCTGAGGGGTGTCCTCCCGAGCTCAGCACCCCGGGGCGGTCATGCAGCCACCGCAAGCCCGGTGACACCAAGCAAGGCTGGAGGGCGGTGCTGGAAGGAGGGGGCGCCGGCGCCGGGCCTGGGGTGCAGAGGCTGAGCGGGAGCGGGAGGAGCAGGAGGGAGGAGGGGGGGGACGCTGGGCGGGGCTGGGCCTGAGCACCAGGGCCCGGGGAGGAGGGTGGCCTGGGCTGGGCACGGGCCCTCGTAGCAGCCTCGGGGGAAGCGGGAGAGCAGCTCGGGCTCAGCGCTTTATTCCCCGGAAATACCTGGTCATCTCGATCGAACATTCCATCCAACCGCAGAGCCTTTTCCGAGACCTCTGGCCTGGACACTGACCCCACCTCCGACAGGTGCGGCAGCGGCGCTGGTAAGGACCGTGGGCGCCGGGGCCTCGCGCCAGGCACTCGGGGCGCCAGAGCTGACTGGACGCGAGTCGAGGGCTGCAGGTCACCCGGCGAAGAGCCCACAGAGGAGCCGAAGACTCGCTGGCTCCGCGGCCTTCTCCACCGTCTCTGCCACCAGGCGGTGAGGACCCGGCGCTGGGGACCAGCCACGTGGACGGGCGCCAGGCAGAGGGAACCGGCGCGCGGAACCGGGTGTCTTCCTAACGGAGGCCCTCTTAGACACGGCCTCCGCAGTCGGGACGTCAGCGTCGAAGCCAGGCTCAGGCTTCCCCGCTGCCATTCTTCGGGACCTTGCTTTCACCGTCGGTGACAGGGGCTCCAGTTGCTGTCCTCGCCCAAAGGTGACACGGAGTAAAGCAGCGGCCCTCTACTCCCTGAGGCCCAGCACCGCCTCGCACCGCCTTCCCCGGCTCCACCCAGGCCCTGCAACCTCCGCACGGGAATTGGCTCCTCTGGCTGCACCGGGATGTCCGGCCGTTAGCCATCCCGGCCTGTGACGCAACAGCGCAAGCCCGGGACAAAGCCGCCACCAGCAGGCGGGCGCACCGCCCTCCACCAGCTTGCGGGGCCTGAGGACCTCAGGGGCACGGCGGCTTTCTCTCAGAAGGTACACAGCAGAGCCTGGGGAGGAGGGCGCCGCTCCACCTCAGGTCCACGTGGAGACCTTACACACCAGCCGGCAGTGGGTCTTCCCCCTGGCTGCTCCGCGGGGTCCCCTGATGAGATGCCGATGCCCTGGGTCCCCACCTTACAGACTGAAACCCGTTCTCTGCCGGCCGAGCTTGAGCATCAACATTTTAAACATTCTACTGGTGATTCTAATTTGCAGCCAGGGATGAAAACCTTTCTGGCTGATGGGTTCTTTGGCTTTGGGGAAAAAAAAAAAAAAAAGGAAATCATATTGTGACGGCATTGCAGATTGCAGGGACTGATCTCAGACCTGCGGCGCCCACCAGGTGCCAGGGGCTGGGGATGCAAAGATAAACAAACCTCTCCATCTTGTTATAATTTCTGTATCTACTTTCCTCCAGAGAGAAGGACCCGTGCGAGAGTCCATTTCCCACCACTAGCGACGCGCTCAGTGCGTCCAGAAAGGTGCCCAGTAGGTAAACCTAGGATGCTTCCACAAGGTCACTAGCTGGGCCCCCCAGGACACCGGGGACGCCGCGGTAAGGAGCCGCCCGGAAGATGCAGACTGTGCTCAAGAACCGCAGATGCCGGGGATGGACGCGTCCGATGCAGGGCTCCTCGGCACCAGCCAGGGACTGAATCAGGAGATCAGCTCACCCCCACCCAGGGGCAACAGGCCCGACGTTCACAGGAGAGCTTCCTAAGTAAACTTGGCCCTGTTGAGACCCGTGAGGGGGAGAACAACAACCCCCCGACAACAACCTGTCAAACTAGGCAGACGACAGAATCTGGAAACCCAACGGACACAAGCGACTGGAAACAGCCTTGAGAACATCCCGGGCCTAGCTAATAGTCAAAAAATGTGTCTTCTTATCTATCGGATTGGAAGAAAGATAAAGGTTGGTAATATACAAAGTGTCCCCCCGGGGGTACAGGGAAATGCACGTTTTCATGGGCTGGAAGCTGGAGTGAGCTTCCTGGAGGGCAACTGGATGTAGCTGTGGAAGACTCTTTTTTTTTTTTTTTAATTAAAAAAAATTTAAAAAAATTTTTTTTTGCTGTGGAAGACTCTTAATGTGACTCCTGCTCCACAGTGAACCCGCTGCTAAGACTCTATCCCCACGTCCCTGTAGAAATGAACACGGGCGAGGAAAATACTTCGGCACCAGGCACAGGAGGTGCTCACACAACACCCTGAGTGTGCCCCATGCCACTGAACTGTGCACCTTAAAATGGTCACTTTCATGCTATGTGAATTTCACCTCAATAAAAAGTTGTTAAAGACCAAAAAAAAAAAAAAAAAAGTAAATGCCTAAGAGTCTGCATCTGGAGATGTTCCCCGCAGCAAGGCCAGATTCAATCTGCAGGTCCATCCGCCGTACGCCAGTGAAGCGTGATACTAACGGGTCCACGCAGTTGGCAGAAATGTCGCAATTCTACGATCCGATAGAGAACCTGCTACACAGTGAAGAAGGAAAAAAGACCTTGTAGAACAGAATTCATACACTGGCAAGAAGCAAAACCAAATACCACACCAAATCTGATTTTATAAATGTAAATACAAGGATACACATCATTGCTAAACTTGCCTACTACTACTGGGTACTTTTTTCTTTATCGATGTCTATCATTATAGATTTGCATTTCTTAAAGCACCATTACTTTTGTTTCTAAAAAAGGGGGAGAACACAATTTTAAAAGAGTAAGACAAGGACAGGATGAGCGGCAAAGACATCCCCGAGGTAATGAGAACGGCTGGTGCCAGGGACCAAGGCACCAGGGGGTACGACAAGAGCCTGGAGCATCTTCTTAAAGTCAGAAATTACAAGTGTTCAACAAAAATGTCAGGACATGGAAACAACCTAAAGGGGCTCCCGCTGGCCAAACCTGGAACTTTATGAGAACCAAAAAGCAAAAAACACAAAAGGACAATAACGAATTCTAGACCACTGGAAAAAAATGGGAACCCATCAGTCCATCATGAATATAAACAGTAACTGGAGGAGAAGGGAGGGAGAAGACTGGGAAGCCGGCAGGGAAGGGGTGCCAGAACAGAAACGGTGTTTTACGACCCTCACAGTAAAGACGAAATCTAGAACAATCATCCTAAGGAAGATTCAGCCAGGTCAGAGTCATCAGTATTTGCTAAACCCCAGGGGAAGTTTGGTGGGGAACAGGATATGTGAACATTTAGTCTTGAAGTAGTAGGTCTCCAGAAATCACGGGAGTTGGAAGGATTGAAACAGAAACCACCTTAACCAAGTACTTACCCAGTATGCCAAACCCGCCTTCCTCTCCTTCCTGGCCACGCTGGGACGCATCTCTTTGGCCCACTGGGCAGCAGGGGCCCATGGAGAGGATGGCCGAGCTGAGCGGACACTTAGCGTTTCCGCCTGGCATGGGGGCCAGTCCTCTGCTCTCCTGGCTACTGAGCCAGGTGGGCACCTCCAGGGGTTTATCC